TTTTATCTGAATGAGGAATTGTGAATTTTTTTGAGGATCCTAGCAGACTTGATATTACTTTCACTGTTAGATATATTTTCTTGTTAATATTTAGGATAGATTTCTATAACTGTAATGCCTCATTAAAACCTATGAAAGTAGAACTATAGTTTACCAAAGTAACCTTTCCTTTTCTCCCAAGTTAACACTTATATTCTTGGAATTTTGAAAGCAGTTGAAGTTATAGAAGTCTGTACTTGGTATTTTTTGTAATTGGATTTTAACGTTCTTCTTTGGATCAGAAAATTGTGGACTTTATAGCTATGACTCTAAACATGGGGGAGTCTGCTAGTCAGCCTGGAAAAAATTAGTTCTGTTTCATCTGTTGGAATCACTATAGTAACTGCACAACCTTCCCCAGTAAATAAAAACAGCAGGAGCATAATTTTCACTGATTTAAAAAAATCAGTATTACCTGCAAATTTATAAGACTTTGTTTTACAGGTACTCTTACTCAACAAGTTTTGTATCTTGTCCTTTAATAAAACTAATGAAATACTGTGTTCTTTAACAGATTTGGGAAACAAAGAAGGTGTGCAAGTCTTCTGATGCTGTGCTAAAAAGTGAACTAGATGTTGTATTTCACAATGGTGAAGTGATGATTTTAGCAATTTACAATCAGAAGCATTTACAAGTAAGTTGTATTTCTCATATGTTAGTACATTTGAATATTATTAGTAGGAAATGGAGGAAGCACTGAAAGAACTACTTGTTCATGGCTTTCAACAGTTGAATCTGTAGCAGATGACTCTTAATGTATGATAACATTTTTATATCTGGAAACTCTGCCTAGTTTAGTAAGCAAAAAATGAAGTTTGAGGGGAAATTTCCACACCGATGTCGAAACTGAAGCTGGATGCAGAGGAACAAAACTGTTTTCTCTTCACAACCGGGGAGGCTGTGGGCCCTCCAAGTGGCTTAGCTGTGCATAGCAATGTGTAATGTGGGCCACACATATAGACTAGGTGTTACACAGCACGTGTACGTAATGCACCAGAACTACTGTGTAATAGCTGAAGGAATCATCTCAAATTGCGAGAAAGAAAGATGTGAGCCCAGGTCTGCCTATAGTCTTAGGAGAGCATGGGATCTTTTATGTCCTAAAGAAAATATTAATGGTGGATACGCTCTTATTACTGTGGACCCCTCCACCAATAGTAAGTACACCAACATCCAAATATATTTTTCCATTCCATGATAGCAAATGCATGCACATCATCTTTTTTTTATTGTAATTCTCTAATATGTCAAATAAAGTCAATTGATAGGATTTTCTTTGAAGTGAAGGCAATACAGTTCATTCAGATTATGCTTCTACTTGATTGTAACTTTTTAAAAGCAGAAACACTTTCATATTTGTTGTAGACTCCTGCTTACTCAAACCGATTATGGGTAATGCTCTATCTTTGGCCATGAGGTAGCTATTTCAGGTGTTTAGCCAAAAGCAGCATCTGAATAGGAATGAACCGTTGTTCTGGACTGTGATAGCAATGAATTCTTATTGCTGGATGTATGGGTAGGTGAGTGTTGGAATAGATTCTGCTGCCCTGCACTGAGGGACACCGTGCAGATAATCTTTTTGTATAGGGTCATGTCCTTTTTCCTAATTTGGCTGAGGGCAAACATGTAAGCTATGTAATCCTGGCTAATCAGCATGACCATTGCCTTTATTTCTAGTCCTAAGAGATGCTCAGCTTTTCCTAGGCTGCTACTAGAATGACAGCTTGCTTTGCAGAAACTTTTCTTCTTGTTTGCCTTGTACTTCCTGTTTCTCTCTTCCTGATTATTTTCTGTCCTCCTTCTTTTGTCTGTCCTGTCAACAAATTAGCCCGTTCTTACTCTACCTAAAAATCCTATTAAAAAAACCTTAAGTGGAATGGTGATGATATTTGAATAGTGGGGAATATAGATGTGGAAATAGCTGAAGTGTCTCCAATGTGGCCTTGGCAATAAAAAGATTCAGACTTTGAGCCAACAGAAAGCGGTCAATGTTGAAACTAAAATTTATGTGAACAAATAATATGTGAGAAAAGAGAAGCTCCATCTGTTGCAGTGAAGAGATGGGAGAAACCACAGCGAATGGAGTTATACCTATTTATGTGTGGGGAACGGTTTAGGATAATGGCTACTTTTTAATCTTCCTGAACTGTAAAATGTGTAGCGACTACTATGTAATGGTGTAGTCTGGCTCTCATTTGAATTAGTAGACCTGATCTATTTATTTATAATTAATATGTTTCCATTGTAACCTTACTTGAAACATTTCCTAGAGAAAGATGGTGCTTAGATTTTCTGCCCTAAATACAATATTCTGACATCCTGTAGAGGTGCAGTCATGAGAGAAGACTCCATTGTAGAGAGAATAGATTTTTCATCCTTGCACAAGAAGATGAATTGACTGAAAAGATAGTTAAGCATGTGTACTGTAATTTAACAGTATAGCTCTGCCATCACATCTCTAAAAGTAGTTTTTCTTGCAACGGTGATGTTTTACCCTTTGTAATTTGTAATCTCTCAGAACTGAGTCCCCTTTTGATGTGCAGTATGTTCATTTTTAAACACTTCACACTGGTAGCTTTCTAAACTTAAACTTTGTTTGTAAGTCATTGTATTGTAAAGATTTTTTTTTTTTTTTCCGCCTGGGGAATTGACTTGAGGGCAATACTGAGTTGAGATTTGGTGTATTGTGTGTGCTAATAAGTTTAAAGTCATGCTTATGGGATGAACTTAAAGTATTTTGTGCTCCATTTGGCATGAGCTGTAGAATCTGGCTGGCAAGGTAAATTTGAGCGTGGGGCTCGCTATTTGGCTTTTGAAATTTGAGAATAGCATTTTGAGTTACTGTTTTCTGTAGTCAGACAAACTTTAAAAAGCCTTCTAATACTGAGATATGTTTCCTTCTGCAAACTTGTCCTGTTCAGAGAGCATTCTATGAAGATAGTTACACTGACCTTCAAAGCAATTGGTTTATGAAAGTAACTGATCCTTATAATTCAAAGTGTGAAACTGGTACTGTTCTCTTTAGCATTCTTAGCTCTGTATTGTAATTTATTTAAGTTTAAATTTAAAAATATTGTAATAATTAACTCCCTATCTTGCAGCTTATCAATGGAAATACAGACAGTGTTATTATGCAGACAGGAGCTCAAGAATCCCCCATTTCCTGCTGTTGCTTAAGTGAAGATCTTAAATTTGCAGCTTTTGGACAGGAGAGTGGAACAATAAAGGTATTAAATCCTAAATTTGATTTAAAAAATAGTAGGAAAACATCCTTCTTGGTGCTTTTTCTTTTTAAAGAAATGTCATTTGAATGACTTTGTACCATAATATTCTTCAACATAGTACGTTAAAGTTTTTACATTTGTGAGTGATGCCTAAATGACAATAATTTAAAGGTAATGCTAATAATGTAGCTCTGAATTTCATTTTACCAAGGACTAAGCTATATGAATTTTTGGTTGTTCCAATCCATTGACTGAGAAGCATGTATTTACAATCTCTTGTTATTTAAAAAAGAATTTGCATGTTCTTTTCTTCCTTTTCCTCAAGTATGTAAAATAAATACAATTATTGCATTCTTTATTGTAAAGGTATTACAGTTGTTGGATGGGAAAGTTCTGAAGTCCCGGGAGGCCT